TCCCCTTTAAAACTGTATCGAATTGTGAAACAAGTCTTCTATAGTCAATTTAAAAATGATTTCATTTTCTAAAGAATTGAGTCTCTCAACCAGGAGTCCGGGGCCCACTAGGGGGCCTCAGTAAAAGAGTGCCTCAAGATGACTTAAAGGGTTAGTTCACCCAAAATTGAAAATTCTGTCAGTATTTACTCACCCTCATGTTGTTCCAAACCTCTATGTATTTATTTGTTCTGCTATACACAAGATATTTGGAAGAATGTTTTAATCAAACAGATCTCATTCCCCATTGACTACCATAGTATGTATTTTTTCCTACTATGGTAGTCAATGGGGAATGAGATCTGTTTGATTAAAACATTCTTCCAAATATCTTCCTTTGTGTTCAGCAGAACAAATAAAAAAATTATGATAAAATAAGACAAAAACAAGCATTAAAATAAGCTAAAACAACTAAAATCAATAGATTTCTAATTAATAGTGGTCACCTCAACAACTTTTTTTAAAAACCAGTGTTCTCACAGTCAAAATCTGGATATTTCAGATTACCTAACATTAAAACTGATTTCTAAACTTGGAAAAATCGTGAAAATGAATAAATCTCCACTGGCATTTATATAATCAATATATGTTGAACATTTTATTGGGTAGAAAAACGATTTAATACTTTTTCCAGTAAATCACACGCAATTTGAAAAGTCATACACAATCATCCATTCAGCATTCAGCTATTAGAATGGGATCCTACAGAAACCAGGAGGGTTGTCTGTGAATGTTTATGATGATGATGAGGGCCTAGGAGCCAAAACGTTTGAGAACCACTGCTGTAATGTGAATTGGATTGTGCATTAAGAGCTTAATTTTACATGTTCCAAAAAAAGGTTCCAATTAGAATCAAACTGGGTTTTACAGCCTTCTTAATTTCCACATAAACATTTTATTCTCTCTAGTAGAAAAAAAGCTCCATAAATATGATAGTCTAAAAAAAACAACTATAATTTAACACACATATTTGTTCATCTTTAAAAGAACCGTATAGTTTAAACCCCAACAAGGAGCCAAAAATGATTGCTGATAACAACAAATTTCTGAACTGAACCAAAGATTCTGTCAAGAACCACTGAACGGCTATTATTTCCAAGAAGGTTCTCCCTCAGATGGAAATAAATGTAAACCGAGAGTGCAGTTTTAGCTGACGCTGTTTGGAGTCGCGGAACACATACTCAGATTTACAGCATGTTCAGTTGTTCCACACACACCCATGTTAGGTTTGAACATGACCACCAGCTGAGTTCTGTAGCCCGAGAACGGCTTAGTGATCGTTTCAAAGGTGGGAATGTATATTTTGATGCTCATTTTCCTGAAACGCTTCACTTCACAGTGAAGAGAAGTGAGTCAGACCGTTTCTACAGTTTTCCAGCGATTCTGCATAGTCACCACTTCTGTGTTTATCTTAATTGGCTCATATTGGGTCTCTCCTGCGTCCTGAAAGACAAATCTCGTAATGTTTGACTCTGTAAAATGGTCTGAAGTGTTTTAATGTTAAGAGCGTTTTGAGTGGAGAGGGAAAAGTCACTGCTGGAAAAGACCAGACACGGAGGATAAACACGTCCGTACTGCCGCCATAACACACCAAAGCATGTATGCGACCACTGGGAAGCGCATGTGGGTGGCATGCATGGTTAATTTCCACACCTGTGTGTGAGTATTTCCTTAACCAAGAAGCTATCCGTAAGGATAACAAGCACACGCCTGAAAACGTGCTTTTCCGGCTGCCTGCCTTATTTTGTTACTCTTCTAGTATTCCAGCATGGATTTTAAATTCAGCTCAGAATAGATTTAACTAGCTATATTTATGCTTTCTTTTATTATTCCCTGAGAGATGTGCATTGTTTTCTTCAATGCATATTGTTTTTTTGTGTGTGAAGCATTAAGAATGTCTTAGATCTTAACATGCATTTTAAAGGTCAAAAAACATTCCCAATTAACTCTTCCCCTTTTTCTCTTATTTACGGCAAGTTTAAAGGCTTTTACAAGTTTGCTGGATGTGTTATGTTGCTTTTACAATGGAGAAAAATAAAAAGGAACAATGCACTTTTACAGTACGTGTTGTGAAGTCTAAGTCAGACGGAGGCGACGAAACATGCAAAGCAAGAAAAAGACTTTAAAGTTCTGCTTTGGTGGCTGGTTCACATCCTGGCTGATCTGTGCATATATTCACATTAAATTACTTTTGTCTTTTTAAGAATGGTTGTTAAATGTTGCGCACGAAGAAACCGCCATTTAATGACATTGTTTTTTTTTTTTTTTTCGTTTGGCTTTATTTCGAAGGTCTCTAATTAAACCTTATATGAGTGTCTTTAAATGTGGTTTTCTGCATCTTCAGCTTGTCAGGAAACAATTCATCACCTGCTAGATGTTTGGCAAACCATTGTTTTTAACTGACTGTTTTCCTATTTAAGGAATAATGGATTTTTTTTTTCTTACGCAATCAAATCCATGTCCATGTGCCTGGAAACACTTTTAGAAGTAACAATTAAACTGGACAGTCATTCACAAACCCCTTCCATGATACCAGCTTAGATGGCAACTGTGACCAATTCATTAAAAAACCTGCCTTTTTGTGCCTTTTATATAGTTCACAATAGAGCCCGACCGATAAAGGATTTTGAAGGCCGATACCGATACAAATATTTTTGGGTTTTAAAATCCGATATATCGGCCGATATTATTTTTTTTTATTAAATATTGTTGGATTTCACACATGTGTAAAAGAAAAGCTAACTTTTCTGCGCAAGATATGTTTGATACTTTTTCTCTATGTCTAAATGTTCACTCCTCGCAAGTGTCACTTACATTTAACAATGCAGGGACTGTAACTAGAGATATGCTAATTATAAATACAGTAATCTTATTACTTTATTTAGCCAGAAAAAGTTCATTGTGGTTTCCAAGCTCATCAATGTTAACGTTAGCGGTCTTCCACTGATTATAGTGGCATTAGCTACTGTAGCTTTGTGGTTAGCTAGTCTATGATGAGCCCTAATTGAGCAATAGATAACATCATACTGCAAATTGTAAAACATACATTTTCAATATAACAGGCCAAGGAGAGATGATTGAAGCGTGTTTCGTCCGTTTTTATTTTATTTTTTAAATATTCATTTATCGGCCATTATAACTGCAGATACCGATATTTTGGAAAATGCCTAATATCGGCCGGCCGATATATCGGTCTGGCTCTAGTTCACATTAGCAAACTATAAGAACGATGAACTATATGAAAAAACCTATGTACCTTAAAGTAATTACCGCCATAATAATGATGAATTGTCACATATGGCTGCAGTGAAGAGCACAACGAAAAAGATTAATAACAGAAACAGTCTACACTTAAATCCACACAGAATACTTAGAAGAACTAACAAACACAATCACGTTAACCAAGTTAACATGTCTCAAAAACGTGGTTTGAAATCGCTGGTGTTTCTGACGTCACAAACTACCTTGTAACCAATCAGGTCAACGTGTGATCGTCAATGAGTGGATCTCTGAGCTGGTGTGAGTGAGTGGAGGCGTGGCTTATTTGGATATCAATAGAACCGTGCAGAGGCCGACAGAGTACACTGCTTTATTACTTGAGTAAATGTACAGATACCCCTTCCTAAATTTTACTCAAGTAAAAGTACTACAGTCTGATGTCTACTTAAGTTTGAGAAGGGTTTCCGAGATTTTTTTTTTTTTTTTTTTTTTAGAAGTAGTAACGCGGGTACTCACGGTTAACAATTTTTTTTTTGTTCTATATTTTCATTAATGTTGGGAAAGATACTCTAAAAATAATTAATTATTGTACTAATTACAATTGTACTAATTACACTCTCTAAAAAAGTATTGCATTACTAATTACTTTCTAAATCCCATATCAACCAGTTGAACAATAGAAGGAATAAACATGAAACAGCTCTTTTAATTCTTTCAAATAAACAGTATTGCATATATTATTCTTAAACTGACCACAATATTCCAAGGGAGATCGGTTACACTAAAAACATACATTTGATCAAATTAGATGTAAAATTTGAATCTTAAATCCACTATCGTTTTACATAGTATTGTTCTATGACAGTAATTCATATAATTACAGCAGAATTAACTGTAATTCAATTACAGAAAAATTAAGAGTTATGGCTTACTTTACTTTTTCTTAACATCCAACGTGGATTTTTATTTTATTTTCTCATTGAAATGACAAAAATGTAAAGAATATCTGTGCCAAATACCTAACCAGGGATCAAAAAGTCCCCAAAAGTTAGGTGTGTGGGTTAAAAAAGAAATGAAAAGTGAAAGTTTTCACTTAGGGGCAGTTGTGTGGGGCATTTTGCACTTCTGAATAAAGTTAGTGAGAGATTTGTCATCCTCCTATAAGTGCAAGCTTTGTATTTTTCATTAGTCCGTTAAAATAATGAACTTCTTTCTTTTTTTTTTACAGCTTGTCAATGTTTTTTGCAAGGTAACTGTTTTCCCCTTTCCTCTCACAGAATCACATCTGGGCATGCCGAGACTTTTGCCTGTCCCACTGAATGAAGCTCTTCCAACCTTTTATGTCTGAGTATGTGTTTTTGCTGTGGCAAATTAGTCTGTCAAATTAGCCCATGGGCTTCGTCAACATTCCTGATGTCTGATACATCAGAACATCACCTGATATTACATTTAAATACAAATGACATGCTGGAAGATGCCAAAATGGGTCATTAGTAGCTTGTTTAGTTGACATAGTATATAATAATTCATAGTAAACAACAATAATAATACTAATAGTCTGCAAAATCCATCATTCTTTGGAGTACACACAATCTCCAGGGAAGATCTGCCCCACCACGCTCCACAAAGAACTCATAACCCCGTCACAACATTGGCGGCTTTGAATATTGGCAGAAACGAGCTGCCTCGTGCATGAATGAACTTGTGTTAATATATCAACATTATAAGACCCTCATTATTACCTCATAAGCCAGACACAACAGCGTCTCATCAAAGAAGTCCAGGCGCAGACAGGGGCCTCCTTTTTGTTTGTTGAAATGGATGAAATGGATCAGATGATACAGCACTCTTTGAAATATACAGGCACAGAGTTCCCGGCACTGATTTTGGAAGGTAAATCTGCAGAAAGCAATTAAAATGTGTTAAGGGTAGCCAATGCTAATACACATGTATTCATAACTTAAATTAAAGCCAAATTATTTAATAAACAAACACACAAACTGCGGTGGGTGTGAAGAACGCTTACAATTGGTGGAGTTTTCTGCAGGTGTAGATTCCATCTAGGCTTGGAAATCATCCATTTTTTTTCTCAATGTAACCACATGATGTAATAAAAAGGATGTGTATCAAAAACAATTTACTGATAAAATAGATTTTGGATGATAATGAACACAGAGTTCAACCACAACCAATATCACCAGTCAAAACAAATAATGAGGCGCCAAAGAAAGACATTTAGAGTTTTGATTACAATCAATGTATGTCTGGAAATACGCTGGCATTAGAGACAGAATTAGACATTGTTGGTTTTGTTGGTGCTGGTTGTAAAATAATGTTTATTTTATTTATTTAAAATTTTGAGATAAAACACTCTCTTGACAGATTTCTCCACAATCATTTAGGTTAAATAAAATCGTATCGTTTATTGTGAGTAAACTGTAAAAAAAATATTGTTTAATAAAAAAAGTAAGCAATCTGGTTGCCTTAAAAATTTAAGTTGGTTGAACTGGAAAAATAGTTAATAAAGAGTTAATACAATGAAGGAGATACATTTAATCATCAGAAACTCAAAATAATAAGTTATCTCAACTAAATAAATTATTTAAGTTGATTTGACGAAAGAAAAAATGTTGTGATACTGATAACAAATCTTGAAAATATTTTTTTTTACAGTGCACTGTAAAAAAAATCTTGTTGCGTTAACTTAAACAAGCAAGTTACCTACACTGTAAAAAATATTGTTGCTTTAACTTAAAAAATTAAGTAATCTGGTTGACTTAAAATTTTAAGTTGATTGAAATGTAAAAAGTGAGTTAATACAATGATGAGATTGATTTAATCATCAGAAACTCAAAATAATAAGTTATATGAATTAAATAAATTATTTAAGTTGATTTGACAAAAGAAAAAAATGTTGTGATAACAAATCTTGAAAATACTTTTTTTTACAATGTAGTTGCCTTAAAATTTGAGTTAATTGAAATTAAAAATTTGAGTTAATACAACCAAGTGACAAAAAATAGAAACTCAAAATAAAATTAAGCTATCCGTAAGTTGATTTGACAGAAGATAAAAAGTTGTGATAACAAATCTTTACATTGAATTATTATTTTTAATTTTTTTATAACTATAAGCAATTTTCCCCTCAAATTCTCATCACTGCAATGTGAAAGAATATATTTTTCGTTACATTAATGCAAAAAGCATTCTACATTCTACAAAACAACATTCTACTATTTTTTGTACTATACCTAATAAAAAAAATATACATTGTAGTATTAAAGTATTAAAGTTAAAGGAAAATGACTATATTTTGCATCATGTAAAACACATTTTGTTTTTCTCTTGATTCTGCGGTTGAAATATGGCATGTTTTTGCAAGATTCGCTCAAGTGCTTTCGAGACTATAATAAATTCTGTGCTCTCCACCCAGTACAAGTATAAATTAGCGCAGGGCAGAGGGCACTAGCGGGCTTACGGACTGGACTGTAAACGTGGTCATGCTACTTATATGGAGACTGCACCAGTAATACGGCGAATTATACGATAAATTCACTCCAGATGTGGCAATCATCCCCAGCCCTCAACCTGACAGTGTGCACAGCAGCATCTGCAGTAGCTTTTCAGTGATCAACTCTCCCTCTATCTGTCTTTTTCACAGACACACTCACACAAACACTGCGGACAGTCCACAATGTTTGCGTTTTTTCAAGAGATTGCTTCCATACCTGCACTGCAAACACTCGGTGACTGCGTTTCCTTCCACTCAAGCTGAAATAAAGGCCGTATTAGCAAATAGTGTTTATTTAACCCCTTAATAGATGCACTCTGGTGGATGTTAGGTGGAGGCCCTTCTCAAAACAAAGCCTGTAGTTCTCTGCAGCTGACACTTTGATTAATGTGAACTAACACTGCAATTACCACCGTTGCTATTGAAGATCAGAGACGGGTTGTGAAGTGCATTACAGTCGCTAGAATCGGGTAAGCTAACTAAAAAAAACGTTATCTAAGCTAAAATCTAGATGCTAACAAATATACTACAGATATATTATCCAAGTTAAATTGTAAGCTAATGTTTCAATAAGTTCCACTAATGGAAAAATGGCAAAAGTAGTGTTGTTGATGCGTGTTCGTGACTCTCCTGTTCGAACTCGTTCATCAAAATGAACGAATCTTTTTCCGAGTCATTTGGTTCATTCAACGAACGAAACAAACAAAAATTAACTCGGAAAAAGATTCGTTCATTCCGAACGGGAGAGTCACGAACACGCATCACAGAACAGAGCAAGTCGAGCATTTGAGCTTATAAAACGTAAACTTTTTTTTAAATGAGCGATCGTGTCGCTTGATAAGACCCTTATTCATCGTCTGGAATCATTTAAAGCCCTTTGAACAGTTTGCAGTTTGCACTGAAAGTGTCTTTTGGACCTTGAACCGTTTGGTTCCCACTGAAATCCATTATATGGAGAAAACTGCTGGAATGTTTTCATCAAAAACCTTAATTTCTTTTTGACTGAAGAAAGAAAGACACGGACATCTTGGATGACACGGGGGTGAGTAAATTATCAGCAAAAGATTTTTGAAAAGTGAACTACTCCTTTAGGTATTTTGAAACATTTATATGGAGTGAGAAACTGCTCTGAACAATTTAGTGTGAGAGCGAGCTGTCCAAATAATTCAGAATGATTCACTGATTCAAAAGAAAACGATTCAGTTGAATTGAACAAGGTTTAGATTCGAAACTGACTCGCGCTTGGTATAAAAGTAGCATAAAGTAGTCATTTCAATTGGAAAACAGGACTTTGATTTAAATAATAATATACATTTATATGTGTATTATTGTTAAAAAGGCTCCTGCCTTTGTCAGTGTGCGAAAGAGAAATGATAACAAATTATATTCAGATAAAAATCACTCAAACATACACTGAAAATTGCAATTAGCTTTAAGTAGGAAGTAGGAATGCATAATGAAATAAAGCATATTGTCAGAGAAAATATAATCAATAAAACAGCACTGCAACGGAAAAGCAACAAAAACTAAGCCATAATGTACAGATCATATATGCAGCCATTCTGCCACATAAAGTAGTTTTACCAACATGACAAATAATCAGAAAAACTAATTATGATACTTTGCTGTTATAGCAGAGCAACTCCAGCTCATTATGTTGAAGTCAAATTTGCTTTATGGAAAGTCTTTCAGTCATTAGACCCAACACACAATTGTTTTTACAGGAAAATGAATTCCCTTGACACGCTTTTAAGGATCAGAGAAGGCAGCGTCTCCATCAAATCACATTACGAGACAAAAACGACAGTGTATGAAATGAAATCAAGCAAACTCGCAGCGCTTTCACAGACTGTGTTCGCCGAGGCTCTGTTGATCGAGTCGTGGTGGTTTGACCAAACGTAGCCGAGAGCACTTGTAGCTGTCCTGTCCGTTTACAGGCTGAAACGGGTATGAAAAAAGACGTCACAACGGGAAAAGGAAGTTTGCTTAGCTGTTCTTTCGGAGCCAGGTGCAAAAAGTTGGCCAGACTCTTTCTTGTATGCGATCGGTTTAAGTCAGTTTTCATCACCTAACATCTTTATCAAACCCATGGGCCCAGTTTGTGTTTTCTTTTTCTCCTCCTCCTTCTTGGGGGGCCGGCACTGTAAATTACAGAGGGGTGATGGAGAGAGGTCCCTCGTGCCTTTGCACATGATTAATGCATTTAAATGTTCACGTAAAACATGCACTGCTGAGACTCTTTTTGATTACAAGTAGCTCGGTTGCACACCGTGCTCTTTTCTTTGACTTTGACTGTTGTGCATTTTGAATTTTCCACTTGTTTTTTTTCATTCCTTATGTAAAGTTAAATGGTTTTACCGAGTGGAAAGGATGGCGTGGGGATTTATTTGACCCACAGGAGATGGTGCTCTGGATGGACTGCTTGGAAGAGCTGTATTCTATCTCTTCAAACTAATAGCGCTAGACTTTTTCCTGAGTTTAATTCCTTTTTGTTGGCTGCAAATTTATTGCTGGTAATACTGAAACGCAACACACTTGGGAGGACTAAAGCAATAAGAGAACCATTTGGAGCAATCTCCACAAACTCTCACAAATGTATGCCATTGAATGCAGATATTAGACAAACAGTTGACCTGATGTGATTTCTTAAAGGGATAGTTCACTTTGAAATTAATTTTTGATGTGTTTTAGCTTACCTCAAGGGCATCCAAGATGTAGGTGTCTTTGTTTCCACAGTATTTTCAATATTGATATTTTTAGGTCAAACCGTTCTTGTCTGTCAGTCATGTAATGGAGGTCTATGGTCACCACCTCAAAGAGCATGCACAGAGAAGTCCAAATTAAACATGATTTAATGACTCGTAAATGTAAGTACACATTGATGGTCTAAGACACGAAACGAGCGGTTATCAATGTGTATCAATGCAACGAGTGCAGAGAGAAGCGCCCTTGCCCTCAGAGTACCTGGACGTGACTGATTACAAGAGGTAAAAACGATATAAATACTGTTCGTTTTCTCAAACAAACCGCTCGTTTTGTGTCTCAATGTGTACTTACATTTACGAGTCATTAAATCAGGTTTAATTTGGACTTCTCTGTGCATGCTCTTTGAGGTGGTGACCATAGACCTCCATTATATGACTGACAGACAAGAACGGTTTGACCTAAAAATATCAAAATTGAAACTACTGCGGAAAAAAGACACCTACATCTTGGACGCCCTTGACGTAAGCTAAAACATCACAAATTAATTTCAAAGTGAACTATCCCTTTAAAGTCACCATGAAATCAAAAGTGACAACTCTTATTTTGATGGAATATTGCAGTATTTATTATAAATGCAAATTATGACTGTTCTGATTAACTCATGGCAAGCTTGGTTAATTTT